AAAATAAATGGGATTAAAATCGGGAGTATTGAAGAGTTGAGAAAAGGGAAAGGTGTAGCATAATTTTAAATGATCATTTGGGAAAGGAGAAAAGAGAATATGAATGTGAAAATTTTCCCAAAAAAATTATGTGGTTTAAAAAGAAAAGGGTTTGGTGCGAGAAGTGGGCCCTTAATAAGCGTGAAAGCACCTGGAAAAGAGGGGAAGCAGGGGGAGAGAGAGAGATTTTGGAGATTTAAGTAAAAGTATAGGACCTTTAACCCAAAGTGGAGAGTAATTGTGGTAGGGGCCCTTTAAATGCTAAAGTGGGAAAGAAACTTTTAGAGGGGGTTTGGTAGGTAATTTTGGGGTTTGCCGGGGTGAAAATGATAATGGGAGCCCTTTGTTTAAAACCTTTGTATGGGAAAGGGTTTAGTTATGGTAATACATTTTTTTAAAAAAAAGAGGATAAATAAGTATAAAAACGATATGTTTAAGGGCGAAATGACATAGTTTTTTGGGAAATTATGTATTGGTAGAAAAAAGATTTTTGAGTAGACTTCAGGATGTAAAATGTTTATAGGGGGGCCAAGATTTTATCAGATCATTTTCTATTTTGTAGCTACACTGAGAGTAAAGGTAAGGGGATAAAAGGGAAAATAAAGGGCATCGGGAAGAAGAGGTAAAGGGTTTATAAACTAAAAAGGGGCCCAGTTAGGGAAAAGTTTATAAACAGCTATTGGAGGATAGAGGGCAAATTGAGAAGCTTTAGGAAATTTGGGGCCCGAAAGGAAAGGGGGATGGGTTTTAAAAATTTATGTTAAAAAAAGGGGGGGTTTCGCAGGGGTTTGGGGTTACGGGAAAGTGGTGCGGGAGGGAAGAGGGGCGATTGGTGGAATGATGATGAAAAGAGAGTAGAAAGGGGAGAAAAAGTTAGCATATGAAAAGTTTTTAAAAAAAGTAAATTTTGTTGCAAGGGGGGAAAGAATATGGAGAAAAAGAGGGGGTTAAGAGAGTGGTGAAGCAATGTAAAAAGAGACCCAAAGAGAGAGGGGGGTGGGGATTTATCAACAAATTTGTTGAAAAAAAAAAATTTTCGGAGTGAGAAATAACAATTTAAGAAACCAAAGAGAAAAAAAGGGTTTTGCCCATTTAAAAAAAGGAGGGGAGGGGTTATTAAATGGGGGAGTTAAAAGGTTTTGGGAAGTTGGGGGGAAAAATTTTGAGGAATTTTTAAAATGTTGATAAAGATAGGGAAGCCGTGATTTCTTTGTATAGAGCAAAGGAATAAATTTTGTAGGAGTGAGGAAAAAGCCATTTGGGATGTGGGGGAAAGTTCGTGAGGCAGTGGGTTTAAAATAAAGGGGTAAGGCACCCGGGGATTGAGGGGGAAAAGATAGAAATGAAAAAAGCGGGGGGAAATAGTTTTGGAGGGGTTTTGTGCAATTTTTTTAATAAATGTATGGGGGGGGTAAAGGTTTAACCTAGTAAAGGGCAAGAGAAATGCTATTTCCCTTTGTAAAAAGGGAAAAGGGGAAAAAGAGAGGGGAAAAATTAAAAAGGGGGAAAAGTCTTTTGAGTGTACCTGGTAAAGTGAAGGGTTTAGATTTTAAAATTTGAAAGAATTAAGAGTAAAAACGGAAAAATTGGATAGCAGATGAACAAGGGGCTTTAGGAAAGGAAGGGGGGTGGGACCAGGTTTTTTACAGTAAAAAAATTATAAGTAAAACAGTTTTTAGATAAGGCAAAAAGAGGTTTTTGTGGAAATTTAAATTGTTTTGGAAAAGGCTTATGACAGGGGGGAAAGGGGGGGGAAATTGGGCAGATGGTAAAAGTTTTTCTTTTTGGGGCCCCACCCTCCTTGGGGAATGGGCCAGTGTGATAAAAAAAAAAAAAAAAAATAACATTATTTTTATAATATATTTAAAAAATTATATATATATTTATAAATAATATATTATATTATATAATATTATAAATTTTTATATATAAATATAAAAATATATTTTTATATATATTTTTTTTTTAAATTACACACGGGCCCCCGTTTTTTTTCCCACCAAGGCAGGGGGGCCCCAAAAAAGAAAAACTTTTCCCATCATTCGCTCCATCACTGTCTTGCAAAAGGGGGTTCTTTACACAAAATTTTTTTTAAAAATGAAAACTTTAAACCCCCCCTCCTTCGAGTGCGGGCCCACTGATTTCCCCACTCCGGGCCTAAGTCCGGCCTCCCCGGTTTTCCCTGAATCCCTTCAAAAAATGTTTACTTTGCTCAAATCCAACAGCACGCCCAAGTATTAAAAACCTTTTTGTCTCCATTCACTCCTATCAAACCGCTCACGAAAGGCCTGCGGAAGCCCCAAGCCCCCGCAAAAAAACCCCCTTTTTACCCCCTCCCCCCAAACCCCTTTCCTAGGCCGCCCCCTTTTTCCCCCCCCCCTTTTCCTTCCACTACAAAATTATCACTCTTGAAGTCATTCTGTTTCGCTCCTTTCTCTTTACTTGCCCGAACCCCCTTCAAAAACCCTTCCTCACCCCTTGGCCAACATTTTTGGGTAATCCCGCACCTCCCCCTAACTTCCAAACTACGAATTTTCTGCATTATATTCACACCACACATCCCCCTCAGACTTTGGAC